GAGAGAGAGAGAGAGAGAGAGAGAGAGAGAGAGAGAGAGAGAGAGAGAGAGAGAGAGAGAGAGAGAGAGAGTCATCCATGCGCTTGTGCGAGGTGCGTCATTCATGCGTTTGTGTGAGGTGTGTGTCACAGTGGTGAAACAGAAGGACAAACAAAAAAATATCAACAATAGGAACACAGAGAGCAGACTTTCTTTTTACTTAAACGAAGTAACTGTTGTGGAAGTTGCAAAATCAAATGCAGCAATCTGCCAATTCGGTTCTGTGTCCAAAATGTTGTGTTCCATAGTGACTGCTGCAGGATCCAAAGGCTGCCAGGCACCATAAGGACAGTCCCAGAAACGTCTGCTGGAAGCATCATCTAGCGCAGGTCACACGCGTCAGCCTGTGGTTCTACCCGACAGACCGTAGGAATACCATTAAATGGCTGTACCATGCAATCGGCCACAGCAGAACACTGAGACTGTCACAGACGAAAAGAAGTACAAATAGATACACCGGCGTGCACAAAAATAGCACGCCGACCAAGTTGTGCAAGGTCCAAAATCTTAGTAGGCAATGCGGTACGGAATCGGAAGACATTCGGTTGCAAAAAGCCTGCTGCATGAATAATAGCCAACCAATACGATTTTTTATCACCATCAGCATCATCATCAGTAGTATCATCATCATCATCAGGATCGTCATCATCATCATCATAGTCACCACATCAGGGACGCTGAGCCTGGTTCTCAGTAATTTTGGTTCGGTTTCTCCGGGCAGACTGTGAGGACCCCGGCCTCATTCCTCTTATTGGTAATATCAGCCTTGGGCACTGGGCCCGTTTCAAAAAAAAAAAAGCCTACCGAACAACCTAAGAATTGGACGTGCCAAACACAGTGCTCGAGTCCACTCATGGCACTGACTGCAGCACGACGTCATCATGCCACATAACAAAAACAAGGATTAAAAACAAGCAGGTGCATGGCCATGGCTATCATCGCAGAACCGGCCAGGCATCCAACAAACCAAAGCGCATTAACAGGGCAGAGCACCCGTTCGGCGCACCAATGCATGATTCAACAGCCACACCCCGTGAATGAACCCGGTTGTATTGTCATCGCCCTCCTCAGTTGGTGTGCAACCTTAGTGAAATCCCGCCGGTTGACATCAGATGACCCCACTGCATCAGTACTAGTGTGTGGGCAAGCAGGGGGTGTGGCCACACGTCCATGCGGCTGAGAACGGGGAACAGTCTCACGGGGCAAGTGGGACACGGAGACCACCGAGCTACCGTCTTCCCCCGAACATAACACACCATGAAATTGAACGTCTGCAAGCTATATTTCCGGTCCGGTACAGCCAAGATGAGGGTGCGTTGTGTTCGGGGGAAGACGGCAGGAACACGACAGGAACGCCTGCTCCCAGGCCTTGATATTGTTGTCAGGCAGCTGTCGCTGTCACGCACAGACTCTACGTCGTCCATTGCCGCCAGGAGTTGCTGCAGACGCCGCACTTCCTCTCGCAGGGTGGCCACCTTACATTCCGCTGCGTCCACTCGGGACAACGCCATGGCCTCACGGGTGTTGGAACTCTCTACCTCCCTCTGCAATTTCTTTATCTCGTAAACCATACCGGACACACACGTTGGAAAAGGACACCCTTTTAAGGGGCAGTCCGTGGGCTTGTTCGATCAATCATTTGTGGGTGAGGGCAAAGTCACCCGCCATGTCTACAACCTCTTTCACATCGTGGATGGTAACGTGGCAGACATCAGCCCTTCACAAATCCTGGAAGTAGCCCATGACGAACGGCACATGCACGCACGACGTCGTAGGATTCCTGTCCCGGGCCTCCCTCTGTGCATGCGCACCCGAAATGCAGGGAAATGGCAAATCAAAAAGGGAAAAATCAAAACAACAACAAAATTTCACAAACAAAAACAAAAACCAAAAAAAACAAAAACAAAAACGAGAGACACGTGTTTCAACCTGCAAGACTTGCACGCTGGTGACACCCACAATGTCATGAAACAATCAACCCCCCCCATCCCTGTTCCTGTGTGCGGACGTCTGATCTGTAATACACGTGTTCCAGCAAACGACCCTGACAACATCGTGAAACATTGCAGAAGTGTAGTGCTTCTTGCGCATTGCAGTGGCAAAACTGCCCGCCAACTTGCCGGCCTGTCCATCATTCGCATCAACCAGTGCATGTGCAACGTCAGCGAAGGTCCCTCCGTTGTTGGCATCAGTCACAGACCAAGATCCGCCGTGGCAAATGCTTCCACCACCCCTCTCCTTCCTTGCATGTTTCAACCTCTCACCCCGGTCACTCCCAACACACCTTCGAGGACCAGGGCTGCCACTCCGACCACCTGGGTCATAGTCTTCCGTGACACCACTCATATCGCCCTCATGTAAATGGACGGTTTGCTTCACCCGCTCACATGACCCATCCGCCTTCCGCAATTTCCACTTCAGCGCATCGAACAACTGTCGATCGAATTGCACTGGCAACCCCTCCTCCTTCCCGATCCATGTGCCAGTATATCTTTTCACCAGATCTCAAATGAAAGTGACTGTCGCGGATCCTCTTCCGCAGTCAATGAGGTTTTGTGTCCGCAATCCAAAATGGTTAGCTTTTCGAAGCCTTTCGCGATGAGATTCGAAATGATCCACTTGTACTTCTCCTTCTTCCCACGAATTTTCTCTCTCTCTCTTCTGCTCTGCCGCAGAGTGTCTTCCCCGAAAAGGAACCAAAGCAGCCCCAAGCTCTCGTCAAGATTCCAGTCAGGAGCACGTGTATTTCCCTTCCCCACAGCATCAGGACGACCAGCCCTCTGTCCACCATCCTTGTTGGACATGTTGTCGGGCTGTGCATGGAAGTCGCTCTGCGAACCCATGCTTCCACGTGTCCCACATTGGGTGCCAGCAATATCGACCGCACCGCCCGTCCACGCATCCCCCACGTCAGTGTCTGCAAACCCGCACGCTCCTTCGGGGCTATCACCACCACATGCTCCGACGTCCTTCTCCATCATTGCAGTCAAAGGCCATGGCTGCACACTTGTCTCGCCTGCCAGTCCCATATCATGGCATTGCAGCAGCGCTGTGTACGGACCTGGACGTTGGTGATCGAGCGGCGATTCTCCCATACTGGCCGGTCCTCAAAGAGGAGGTGGTGACAGACCTCCCCTGCCTCCTCCTGATTGCCCATTCGGTGCTGGATTACGTTGGCCATCTCCTCATTCTGGAGCACCTGTCCATGCTGGCAAGTTCTTTCCTTCCCTTGGCATCCGCCACCGGACGGCCACGGGAGCAGCGGTGGCAGTGACGTGGATGCAGCCACCCCACCTTGCCAGCAAGAACTCCCGTCTTCCGATTTGCCGCCCCTCGTCAAGCCTCCGAAAGGCGATGGACAGAACATCGGCACTGTCAAGTTTTTCCATTTCGGCAGAGGCGGCAAGGTGTACGGGAATGCAGCCGCAGCCCTCGCCCCTGCTGCACCTGTGGCGAAAATGCGGATGTGTCCTTGTGCAATGACCCTTCATGATAAGCCGCAGCGGGCGAGGCGTCCTGCATGACACCTTCCATGGAAGACATTAACGACGGCGACCGCTGGTGCAAGGTTGACTGAAATGCGTGGTCCATGGTAGTAAACTGTAGGGTAGAAAGGTTCACAGAGAGAGAGAGAGAGAGAGAGAGAGAGAGAGAGAGAGAGAGAGAGAGAGAGAGAGAGAGAGAGAGAGAGAGAGTGGCATACTGAGCCACTCGGGCCCCAGTTAGGGCCCGGCTCCAAGACAGGCAGGGTTAGCCTAGGGGACACCGGTTCAGATGAGGCTCAAAAGGGCCTGGACCACGGCGGTTCAGGCAGGCCCAGGCCGAACGGCCACAAGGCCGGTACCGGTCCAGCCTAGGACCTACCGGCAGCGGTTCAGAGGCTGCCGTAGTTTAGGCGCCAAACCAGTTTCGAAACTGAACCGTTGATCTAGATCAACGGTCCAGGCCAGTAGGTACCGGTAGGTAAGAGGCCGGCCCAGCACTACAAAAGGCTGGGTACCAGCCTCAGTAGGGAGGTTAGTATGTACGAGTTAGTCTAGAGGATTAGCGGAGCAGCCAAGCGTTAAGCAGATTAGCACAGCGCTGCAGCAACGAGAGCGGCCAGGAGACAGCGGCGCAGCGGCAAGAGGAACAGCGCAGCGGCCCAGCCGCGCCATAGCTACCAGCAGGTACCGGGACGAAGGCCTTGCCTTCTCTCCCTCTGTTCCTCTGCCTCGGCTCTCTCTCTCTCTCTCTCTCTCTCTCTCTCTCTCTCTCT